CAAAAGAAAAAAAAAAAAAAACTATCCAGTCGACACTATTCCCGGGTGGAGAGGGAAAAAATTTCAAATTAATTCCACGAGATTCCACATAACATCAGGTACAAGCAGCGCCGGCACGAAACTGAAACTGGTTTCGTGAAACCAATCTCAGCTGAACACCGCGCTTTTCCCACGATTGAAATCACAAAAAATAGTTTAAGGTGCAAGATCCCCAAATTTCAAACGGGAAAGATTGCTCACCCCGTGTGCGACGAAACGGCCATCCTCGGGGCCCCACTCGCACCTACAGGCTCTTTCCACGGGCGGAGAAATCGGCACGGAACCAGAATCGGCGCGGGACCGGGATCGGCACGGAACCAATCGGCGCCGATTCGGACCATACCGGACTCGAGATGTATGAAAAGTCGCTTCCAGTGGCGACTGCCTTACCTAGGGAATGACCGGGCAGGATGAAGCGGCAAGAAAAAACTCCCTTGTTGCAAGTCACGGCATGGAAATCCCTCCTTTAAATGGACAATACTGGAATCCAGGATAAGGTGCTTAATTGCTAGAAACGAAGACGGTCTCGCCGACGGAATCGAACGACTCCGCGTACTTTCACGGTACTTCCACGGGCGCATGGCACCGCCGGTCGCGTCCCGACGAAGCACTCGGAGACAAAACTAAGACATAAAACCGTGAAACCCATCCACAAGCTTTATATATAAAGAGTCAAAAAAAAAACGAGGGCACCTCCAACAAAATCGTCTCAACTCATTCCGACCGCTAAAAATTCAAAGTACACAAGAACGGGACCGCATCGCTCCCCGCCGAATGACGAGAGGGACAGGACCGAAAGGTGACCGTGCAGCTGAGCTGCAGGCCTGTCTCTCCGGACGCATCTAACGGAAGGGACCACCACGGATGACGATTCAAAGGAGGGCCGTTTATTGACCACGTTAGTCAGGTGAGAAGCGTGTCGTCCAGCTCCTCCTCCTTGCCCTGGGGCTGGAGGGCCACGCGGCGCAGCACCTTCGAGATCACCTCCGACAGCGCCTCCTGCGCCCCCTCCTCCAGCAGGCGGAGGCAGTGCTGCAACACGGGCGAGTCATCCGTCATTAAAGAGGCTGCTCGGGGGAATCATTAACAGCATCGTTGGCACAGTCATCGCGATAGAACTCCACGAGAAACCAAATTTTACGAGTTCGATCGTGAATCCCACTCATTCGTCGTGGATAATGCCAAATAAGAAATTGCATTTGGGTTTGCGACTTCGGCTCACAGCCGTTTCACTTAAACTTGTCACATATCCAAATTATCTTCTACAGAACAAGGGTAATCATGCATGAGTGGCACACTTCTTGCCTTTGTTCTTTTTATCGCTGCATCATCAATATACATGACAAAGAAAATTACTTGTTATAAAATATTTCACTACGTTGATAGAAAGATTCACTATGTTGATAGAAAGAAAACTCAGCCTGTCAGCACAAAATGACGCAAGGTGAGAAAAACTTGCATGGAAAATAAATCATGCATGGTTTTTTTCCATCATGAAATTCGGCAAAAAAGACAAACGCTAGTTACTTACAAAATTGATCATCAGAAGGTATCCTTCACATACATTTTCAAAAATGACAAAAACCCAGAAGCAATTGCTTCTCTGACAACCGTCTTAATGTACGAATGTACAGTACTTATGTCTTAATGCATGAGAATGTCTAACAATGTAGAAAGCAGCAAACATCACCTCTAATAATGGTTTCCATTGCAGATTGCTAACATCACTTCCTCATTTTTTGTTTCAGTGCATATACTGTATACTACATCAGTACACTTCATTTATACAGGCCACCTCATATTTATCTCAACTCCGACTGTATGAATAAAAATTATTTGCTGAAGAAATTTCTGTAAAATTTCCAGAAGCAATTTTTTGCACTGATCAGCAAATGAATTAACTCCTAATGAACAAACCTGGCTATTCATACTTCCTGCGGCTCTTCACTGATGCTGACTTCCAATAGAGTCAAGCTTCACTTTAGTCATATTTTAGTATTTAATCCATCATCAAATAATGTTGATTATGTCATGAAGAAGTAATGATTCATCACCAGATTGTATTATTTCATCACTTGATGAATTTATGTCACCAAATTCTCCTTAGTATTTTCACCAGATGCCATGAAATGACCACCAAATTTTATTGAGTTAGCACCAAATCATTGTCACATTTCATGTGTCAAAATAAATAAATTTTCTTTTAGCAGGCCTGCAGGAAAGAACACACAGACTATCCCTGCTGTGAATTAGCATTCCAAGTGAATTTCTGCCAGTCTTGATCCAAACAGGGCATGTGCATTCAAATTTTGGAGCTCTCACAACTCAGAGGGAGAGTCTTGTTCTCTTTAAGTTCTCCAAATGCTCCAGTTTTCTGATTAGATACTCTTGTGCACTTTTCCAAACCTCTTCCCTTGTGGGGTTGCCATCACTGCAGGCAATGAAGGCATCTTTGTTTCAATGTCCTCAAACTCTCCAGTTGCCATGGCACCTCTAATACAGAGGCACACAGAAACTGAAAGTCAGTGCTGTACACAACTCCCATACATGTACACACACAAGCGCAAGGAGACTAGTTACACAGGTCCTCCCCCAAAGTCCCTCCAAAGCATGATATGATCTCACAATCTCATCTTGACATCACAGGTCTAACCAGAAATAAAGAAAAACTCATTCCTTGATAGGGTTGCAAATGCTGAGAAGTTCGATGAGGAGATAATTTTTTGGTGTGGGATAATGCAAATTTGGTGAAATCAAAAATAAGAATTTGGTGACTGATTCCAATCTGGTGAAAATTCATTGTGATCTGGTGATGGAGTCAATATTTTGCAGGCTGAAAATATTTGGTGACAAGTTCATTATTATTTGGTGGGTGATTGAATATCTTTCTTTACAAAATCTCATTACTTTTGATTAAGTAACACTATGCAAACAGATGGGAAAATAATGCAAAATTCAAATATTGCCTATAATGGAGATGCCAACTTGCTGCAGAGGAATACTTCATCAGGTAGTAAGGCAGTTTCTACAATCCTCCCATCATGCTATTTCATTACGAATCACATGACAGCAAGTCATCTGGAGGATGACAGTGCAATAAATTATGCTTTCTTTAAGAAATTAAAGCTTCCTTTGCAAGATTCATAGAGGAAATCATGAATTACCATAATTTGATTAACCTATTGTAAAACAGAAAAAGGTAGTCCATGACATAAATTTTAGTTCTAAGATATTTGAGTCAACTTGAAATCTTTGACTGATAATGATATGCAACCCTAGCATTGGTAAACCTACTTCTGAGTTTGCTCTACATATTACCAACTGCTAGGCAATAGCAAATCTTTGTTATATTTTACTGTTTACATAAATAATTTTTTTAATACTACATATTTGTTGAAACCCATAGCAATGGAACCAGGGTTACAAATCAGCAAAGAACTAATAAAAACAGTAAATAAAAATCCATTATAAGGCCATGGTGGAGAGGGCACAGTCTGAAAGCCTGAACAATGGAAACAAATGCAGAATAAAGTCTTTTTTTTTAAGGCAAACAAAGGACTTGAAGGAGTCAGGGGTTGTATTCTGCACATCCATCATTCCACCTCATAGCACCTCATGCATACTTTCAAGGAAGCATGACTTTTGAATGGAATATGAGCTTCGACATGAAATTTTCCCATTACAGCATTCAAATCAGTACCCACCTATATAAATAGAGGACAAATATGAAGCAAAACTGAATGAGAGAGCATGAGCTTACCTGTTGAGTCTCCTCACCGACACGGAGTCTCAGAACTGCAACAAGAGCAGCCTCAGAGGAGGCCCTCACAGCCGAGTTCTTCTCCTTGGTCCCATTGACAAGCTGCGGGAGCAACAGACGCAGGATCTCTGGTGGTAACGGCTGGCCACCTGGGACACACGAGGCCAACTTCCCTGCAACCACTGCCACTAGTTGCTTCACCTCATTGCTGCTGTGATTCATTGTCTGAAGATGCAACAGAGAATGTTAGAGGAAAGCATATTAAGTGAATATTCATTTTGCATACTTTAGTGACAATATTAGATTTTGCTTCTTGTCCTGACAGTCAAAGGTTACATAATGGTGAGTAAGAAAATGCAGAAATTCCCTTTTAATGCTTAGTATTTTTGAGGCAGCACCCCCTATGCAAGTATATTTCAGGTTTTTTTTTGTTTTAAGAAAGATGGTACTAATTTGAATTATGCACATTCTCCAAAGTAGTGAAGGTAAAGGATTGATGTCAGGTGAATGCCTGATTGACTATATTTACTAACACTGCAATGAAAGGGTTGAGCTCGGACTTACACGACAAAAGGGTACAAGGATCTTCTCTGGTATGGGCTTGGATTCCTGAATGCAGTTCATGAGGAGGAAGCCACAGCAACGTACTCCTGCCATCACAATAGGGACCTGTGCAAAAGAGATTGATGACTATCTGCATTTGGACAAATGAGATTAGACTGGACTCAAAGAAGCGATGCAAAACCACCAGAACGTACCCTGTCAGCTGTGAGATAGGCAAAGATGACTCGATTGACCTTCTCATTCCAATCTGATTGAAGGATGGTGTTGGGAGACTCTTTGAGAATCACACTCAAAGCCACCACACTCCAATGCCTTGCCAGCCAGTCCTTTGTTAGGTCATCATCTGACAAGAACATCATATATGCCATTTATAAGCAAAAAATACTAAAGAGGAAAGATGCAAAAATATATTTTAAAATATATACTTAGGATATGATCAGTCAGGACAGCACTGAGCTCATCTGGCTTGAGCCAATGGCAGAGGGCACCAAGGCAGCCGGCTGCAGTGAGTCGCACCGAGTCCTCAACACTGGTGACAAGACCGAGAAGAGTTGAAAGGATGGTCTTGCGGATCCCGTCTCCCATCTTGTCGCCGGATGATGACACCACACAACGCATGGCATAAAGCATTGTGTCCCTACATATAAAAAAGCAGGGCTTCTTTACTTTGAGTGGGAGGGAAAAATAAGTCTTGGTCTTTCTCTGCCCTATACATTAGAATGTATGCATGAATTTTGGAAAGTTTTCTCACTTATAACTTCAACTTGATTGGTTCTCCTTTAATCTAATGTCTATGACATATTGCTTTGACCTTTGCCATTATTCTTATTAATGAGCTCATCATCTATGGTACACATTCAGATAGGGCTTTTACACCCAAATACACACATGACAGCTGGGTCATCAGCAGACTTGATGCTGGAATGGAGGTCTGTGAAGAGGGGGTCGGCCCGGACGTGAATGACGATGAGGCAGCTGAGGGCTTGCGCTGCTCGCAGTCTGACAGTTCGATGTCCATCATTGAGTGCTTTGAGAAACGTGGTCTGCAGCTGTGGCAGGAATGGCCTCAACTGGCTCCCCACCTACAACAATAAAGTCAATTGATTCCCCTCTCCTCTCATGTGACTTCATTCTCAAGCACAAATACAAGTCATGATAAGCCATGTTGAAAAAAGATAAGTATGTCTATGAAAGAAACTGAACTGATATGGAAATATTTAGCAAATGCAAAGCATAAGGCAAAGAAATTTATATTGGCTTTGGCAACTCTCACCATGATAACAGGTGTGATAAATGAATATTATTAGCCTTCCCCACTCATAGTCAAACATTTTTTTTGCCATAAGCATGTCAGGGCTCAAAAATGCATGTTTTTTGTCTGACTTCCTGATATATTCATCAGACACTCAACTGTTCCTCCCTTTGGTTTGGCTGTACTAAATGACCACATTTCAAGAATAACAAAACCAACTTTATTAATTTATATGCAGGAAAGGGGAGGCATACCTTGGTAAGAAGAAGTGCCAAAGTGTCCAAAACAGGGACCTTGATGTTCCAGGAGAAGCGATCCCCCAGGATGCGAATGAGGGGTCCAGTGATGTTCACGACAGAAGGTTTCAGTGCCTCAGGGGAAGTCAGGCGGATCACCTCTCCAAATCCCAATGCTGCCTGTTCCTTTTGCTCTGGTGCTCCATTCAAGATTGCCTCGCGCAGAATTGGTAGAATTGGCGCTATTCCCTAGGCACAGTATCAAGGGTTTGAGCAGCCTGAATATGTATTAAGAGATCTAAGCTCTCATGGTTGTGTTTGCCACACGTTGCTTATGGAACCTATGGGACTTGTGCACAGCAATGATTGTGTTAATTTAAAACTTTCATTTTTATTCAACTCATGCCAATGTGATTTAATCTTTTATCAGATGCTTAACCCCTCTTTGCAGGCCTACATATGACCATTGTGGTTTAGTTGATAAAATTAGACACAAACCTTGGGCAGACAGAAACCAGGGAGTAACTCCCGTCCCTTGAGGTCGCTGGCTGCATACTTCACTGCCTGCCTCATATCAGACACCCGTTCGATCTGTGTCTTGCTGTCCATCCCCTGTCGTATGAATCAAACCAAGTTTCTTAGACCAAGGCACAAACAGACTACATTGGGGTCTCATGGAAAGACAAGGAAATTTGCTAAATGTTGATGGAAATTTGCCTAATCTCAATAGGGATTTTGAACTGGGGATTCAGAGGGAGAGGAAAAATGGAATAAGCAAAATAGCAAAATCTCCATAAGCAACAGTTCTACAGGGAAGGAGCAGGACCTTGGTGATGGCATTGAGGCCATCCCAGGTGGCAGCAAGTATAGTTGCATCCTCGTCGGTGAAGAGGTGGACGAGCCCGCGCAGGAGCTGTGGGACATATGTAGAATAATCACACTTGGTGTGTGTGAGGAATGCAGCAAGCAGGAGGATGGCAGCTTGCTTTTGCTTCAGGGCTTCTGCCATCTCCTCGCCTTCCGTTCCGGGTGGGGATGTAGATCGTGCCACCTCCAAGAGGTGGTCGATCACAACATGGGTCCCCATGTCATCCTGCACTGACAGCACCACTGCTTGGCAGTAACCCATCTCCTAAACAGAATGAATGGAAAGGATCATTGGAGTTTCAGAGAAAAGAAACAAACAAGTATCTGGTGATCACTTGAAGAGAAAAATGAAGGTTTCAACACTATAGGCTATAGAATGAAATTCATTAAATAGAAAAACAGATGGCACATGGCAATGCAGAAAAAGAATAGATTTTTTGTTGAGGCCTAAAAAAATTTTTAGTCAATATTAGGCATATCTTAGTTTCACGAAGATTTTAGTTTTCATTTTCATACTTTTGTGCATCTCATGGTTTTATTCTTTAGATTAATTGTAGCATACTTTTGCCTTTTTAAATGCAAATTTAGAATATAGAATAGAATATATTTCAACATATTTGCAGGTAAGGACAAAAGATGAAGGTAAATGACAGTACATAAAAAAAAAGAGAAAAAGGTAGGGGAAAAGGAGTAGAAAGAAATAGAAATAGAATGCAAATGCAAATAGTGGCAATAAGGCCATTCATTGAACCTAATTGGGTTTGCCCTGGATGCCAGGTTGAGATGCAACAAAATATTATTTGATTGATTGATTGTATTGTTTTTTTTCCCTTTTTTTTCTCTGAGGAATCCAGTCAGCCTAATGAGCAATTAGGAAATGAGCTGGTTTCTATTGTAATTCTTTTCTTGAAAATAATTAATTAATTTAGTGTTAAAGATTTGGATTTGGATTTACCCTTTGCAATTGCAACAAATCAGCTTCAGTTTTTGTCTGAGTTCTAGATTCCACTAATCTCTGACAAGCAAAGCAACGAAGGGGTTGCTCCTTAACCTTTACAAGTCTAATGTTTCACAAATGGTGAGGAATCTTCTTTTTATAGGTGTGGAAAGGAAGATTCCATGCTGTACAAATATGGCAACATTTGGCATCTAAAGGTTTAAGTCCACATGCAGGTAAGATACATAGTTGCTGTAAATGAGGAAGATATATAAATAAAAATTAGGAAATAATTTCCTACTGGGCCTTAAAAACAAAAACAAAAACTGTTTAGCAGCCATTTTGTTCATGTACTTCTTGTATCTGCACACTTTGCCATAGTTGCCAGTCTTAAAGGGCATAACAATTTCTTTCTAGAATTGCTTTATTGTTAAAAGTTTACACTTTTTTTATTATTAGAAACCACACTACTGAAGGAGAATAGGATGTCGTGCTGCAGCCAACTTGCACATGATTGAAGTTTCCTTAAAGAGAGGCATCACTGTATTTTTTTTTAGGGCAACTTGTGCATTATAGGGAACTAATTCCCTTTTCATTTGTAGTAAAAACTGAAATGGCAAAACATACTTGAGCTTCTTGAGGAGTGCCAAGCGCCTGGCTCAGGGACTGGAGGAGAGCTGGGAGGATCCGACTCAAGTGTCGGGTCAGTGCCTCGCCCGACACCGACGCCAGGATGCTCAGCGCCTCCGTGTTCACAGGTGGCTGGGTCAACTGTGGGAGAAGGGGACCGTTCCATGCGTTTAACGTCATGGCTATTCGCAAAGTGATCCGAAGAGATGTACGAGAAGGAGCTTCACCTGGGGGATGAGGTATGGCAAAACAATCTTGCTCTTGATGGCCATCACCTGCCGCAAGCCGTCCAACGTCCACTCTGCCAGCTCTGGATCGTTCTAATTCAACATGAATTCATTCAGTAATTAACTCTTCTCCAGTTGAATCTGATGGGCAATTTAAAAAGTTTGCATACACAAAATGAAATTGTCAAATATTCCCAGAAAATGTAATCCTACCAAATGTAGGCAATTTCCTCAAAAGTCAAATTTTAAAACTGTTCCTGTTGACATAAAAGCAGAAATGACTCTTGCATGATCCAACGCCATACCTCAGAGATTTCTGCTAATATGTCTTCCAAGGATGAAGTCAGGAATCCCAGGGGGAAGCTGGAGAACATTTTAAATCATTCTATGGAAGAATGATTTGAAAATCATAAGGGAGATGATAACTATTTCCTTTCCTTTTCCACATGGAAAAAGGGGCCACTTCCAAATTTTTTGCACCTTACACAAACCAATCACAACGAGGATAAAGGAGTTCCTGCGAACTATCCATAATTGGGGTTGGGCAAAACATGATACATTTCAAGTCAAAAGTTGGCTAATACATAACAATAAGCAGCCTGTACTTCAAGGGGCTTCCTCACCTCCAGTCGCATCCAGATCATCGTGATTAAGATACAGAGAGCTGCAAAATGTTTAGCGTTTACCCACCAGCTGATGCAGCATTGGGCTGAGAATGTCGTCGAGCGCCCTCCCCCCGACCGTGTTGTGCAGGCTGTCGAAGGTCCTCGCCGCCGCCTGCCTCACCTCCGGCAGCGGGTCGCACAGCGCCCTCCTCACCGTCGGCACCAGGCTCTCCACGAACAGCAGGATCATGTCCCGGCTCGTGGAGGCCATGATCTCCGACAGCCCGATGCAGACGCCCTGCCGCTGGTCCGCCTGCTCCGACTCCAGGCCCCGCTCCAGGATCGGGATGATCTCCGGCAGCACCCGCTCCCCTAGTTTCCGCACCAAGTCGCCCAGCGTCCGTGCTGCAACCTGCAATCGAATTTTAGTCATGCGGTCTCCTCAATGTCGTTTCTGAACTTTGGCGCGAACTCCCCTTCTGGGGGACGACAAAGCTCAATTTGAAAATACAAACAACTCAAACGACATCCAATTAAAATGCACTTTTTCTAGTTTCGAAGATCAAAGTAGCTTTGGAGGAAGACAGCCGGTTCGAAATCCACATTACCCAGGTACACGCACCGTGGTCACTTACACCCCGAATAAATGGAAGAGAATGCTCGAAGAGCCGGTCTGGTTTACAGTTCAACTCACGTCGTCGACTCAATATCAAAGGGAGAAATTCGTGCGCAAGTGAGATCAATGTCGGGTCACTACGAGGACATTGAATCCGTGAATCGAATCGGCCAAAACGTAAGCGAGAGAAGCGGCTAGCCCTTAAGAAAGAATAACAGGAGTGAATATTCGATTGGGTCCCTCAAGGACAAAAGTCAATCGCTCACACAACAGAGGTCAGGCGCGGACTCAAAACGACTTCGACTCGAGTCCACGAGCGAATCCTGTCCGGCGTGCATCGAGGACATCACCGTCCAAAGAGGATGAGATCACGAACAGGATCGGGATGCCGTCGTCAGTGGCGGGAACAGGCACCGATGGGATTCCGGCGAGTGCCATCGCGGAACTCGCCAAGTATCCATACCGTCAAGACTCATTTTCGAGAAGAGCATTTCGCACGGCTAAGTACCAAGGGACTGGAAACGAGCTCCTACCGACCTCGAACGAGGTTCAAGTCGGTGAGAGCGAAGAGCAATTCGAGAACGCGCGAGGAACCCAATAAAGGAACTTTTTTACTTCGCGAAAGCTTTCGATACCGTTCCCCGCGCGAGGTCACGGGTCGAACAGGAGACGCCCGGCATTCGAGGGAGAGCAACTGAAAGCGTAACCGGAGGCACAACCGGGGGCGTGACCGGATGCGTAACCCACGGGACGAGAGCAGCGGGCGATCGTAAAGCGCGAGGCGAACGCGCGTATTCCCGGCTCGCATCAACGTCTCAAAAATCACTCTTGATGCGAGAGCAAATTTTCGAGCCTCCACACCGGTCAAAATAACGATAGGTCTCCGAAGATAAGCTGGAGTTCTCACTCGTGTTGGCAAAAGTAACCAAATGTTTTAGGATCTCGGGCACAATCCTGCGTTTCATCGCCAATGAAGGCTCGCGCGTTACTTTTCGATTGTGCGCAACACTGAAAAAATTATAACTTTGTGTTCAAAGGCGGGTCACAAAAACGACGAAAGAGATAATAAAAAAAACTTGAGGCAAGTGAAGCGCTTAAAAACAAACTCGATCGTTGCAGAAGAGCGAGAGGGAACCAATTCGAGTCGTGTAAATCCCAAAAGCGACTCGGGTTACAGAATGACTTCTCTACTTGTACAGTACATGCGTGGAACGCGTTAAGAGATGTAGAGGCAGCCCCCTTCTGTGACTGGCTTTGAGAAGAGCATAGCCATCACGAACAGAACGAAGAAACGGGAGCAATGCACCTACTAGTGATCTGCAAACATTTCTCCCACAAAAACACCTATATGGGGCTACACCAATTTTATCGTACACGGACGGAAATCCCTCTCCACGCCTCGACCAGAAACCTCCAAACTTTAGCCCTACCGATGCATGATTTTTCTAACCTTTTTGACTATCATATTTTTCCAAGTGGTCGATGAGAAAAATAAAGGGAAAAAAAAAATCTTTTTATTTTGGTTTTTCTATCGCATTGTAATACATTTCAATGCAAAGCAAAGCGAGCCATACCTGGCCCACCACCATGCCGCGTAGGGTTAAAGAACTCGGAACCGACTCGAAGAAGCGAAAGAAAACAGACCTGTCTCTTATCGTAGGACGTGCTCGCGAGACACCCGAGGAGCAAGGAGAAGAGCGTAGGGAGGATCTCTCTCAGCATCCTCGGCGTGTTCGTCACCACCACCTTCCACACGTGCAGCGACGCCTGCCGCACCATCAGCGCCACGTCCGACCTCCCCATGTACAGCCCCGCCAGCACGCGGTTCCGCCGGTCCTCCCCCAGCACGTGCAGCACGGCCCGCTGGCTCTGCTCCGTTCCGAAGTTGTCGTCCTCGTCCGCCGTCTCCGTGGACATCTTCCCCGACACCCCCGAGATCTTGTACAGGAGGTCCCCCAGCAGCTGCACCGAGCTGAGACACGGGAAGCACACGATTCGTCGAGGATTCACGGGGAGAATGCACCGCGCACGAAGAGGAGGCCAAATACACGAAAGTGTATTTGGCCTCTTTTCCCTCGTCTCAGACTCTTTTACGAAACTTTTTATTTTCGCACGCGAAAAAGAACTGCATCCTACTAAGAAGAATACAGTAAATAACTACAGGTAAATAACGGATAAGATAGCGATGGATAATGAAAAAAAAAACTCTGGAAATGAAAAAAGGAAAATTATGAAAAACAATCTGCTATCAAGCCAAGCTTCGGTCATTTCACTTCAAACTTACAGGTTCCACCACCAAAAGGATCTCAAGCATTCGACAGCCGAAACCCTACCTGTATCGGATGCGCCAGTTGTCGTCAAAGAGCCCCCTCTCCAGCTCGGGAAGGAGAAGCATGATGGCCGTGTCGGCGTACATGCTCACGATCCGCTGCCCCGCCTTCAGGGCCGTCTCCCTCACGTACTCCGTCTCGTCTGCCAGCGCCTAAGGATTCGGGTGGAGGATTTCAGGGAGTCGTCAGGAAAATGAGTCATTCACGGTAAGATGGAGCGTGAAAATCGAGGCTAAATTTTATTTCATCGATATACTGTAAATTCAATCGATTCTTGCAATTTTTGGCACGAGTTGAATGCATCCTTCTTAAGCAGTCTCATCGGTGATACTCGATGAGAAAACATGAAACCAGAATGAAAACCATCAGATACGCTGACCTTTAAGATGGGTACGATGATCTGGCTGACATAAGGAGTAAATTCCTGCTTGAACACCACAGGGAGATAGATGAACATCATGATGTAGCCATCCTTGACGTGGGGAGCAATGTCCGCTCGCTCGGCCGTCGCGATGATGTCTGCACGCAAAAAACGCACAATAATTTTTTTTTTAATAATATTATTTTTAAATCAAGAGAAAGCTCAGAAGGGAACGAGCGAGAGGGACCTGGCATGAGGCGATGCAGCTTCTGCGGCCCGAGCCCCCCGACCACCTCGGAGAGGCCCTGCGCCGCCCCGGAGCGATCGACGGAGCCGCGCTCCGACGTGAGCGTCTGCATGAGCCAGGGCAGCAGGTCCTCGAAGCTCCCTTCCCCCATCCCCTTCACCATGGCGCCCAGGGCACGCGCCGACACGCTCCGAACCTGCAATTCGGTCCTTGTCGTGAGACGTGACTTCCGGGGTTTCTTTCCAATTGCTAAAAATGCTGCAACTAATTTTATTTTTCTCTCGCAGACGAGTTCATTTGCAAAGATGTGGACCTTCAACGATGTCATAATATTACAGAAGAAAAAAAAAAGGCTAGCATATTGAATCAGCAGATAACTCAGACTTTCACGTTTTTACTTTGGCTCAGGTATACTATGTAGGTAAAAAAAAAAAAAGGAGAATACTCACAGATACAATTGACAGTAAAGAACACGACAATATTCAGAAGCCTATACATAAAGATAAATTTCCTCGGGAAGACAAAAGAACACAAGCTAGGGTGAGAAAACGAAAGAGTCTAGAGACCTCAGGAACCGGATCGAGGAGCGAGGTCTTGAGCCCCGGTATGATCGCCGGGAGATACGGCTGCAGGTCCTTCTGGTCCGTCAGGGAATACATGTTCCCGATGATCTGGGCGGCCATCTTCCTCGTCTCCGTCGACCGGTCCTGGAAGGCCCGCTGCACCACGGGCATGATCAGGGCCAGGGACGGCGCGTCGATGAAGTGGACGAACTTGGTGTCCAGAAGCGTCTGGAGACACGGCGCCGTTTTCTTCGACGGATCCTCCAACGCGCCCAGCAGGTTCGGTACGATTGCTGCGGATGCAGATCAGAGAGCTCGGAAAGTCATGCCGTGTCATTTTATCGGACTCGTTTAGCCTCTCTCCCACAACGACCTGCTTCGGATCACCGACAGCAATGCATCGAGTCGACAGACCTTGGATTTCCGGGTTTCGAATGACAGAGGCGATGACGCTGAGGGCCTGGGTCCCGGCTTTCTGCACCTTCGGGTGGGAGTCTCCGAGGACTTCGATGAGTTTGGGGACGATGCTCGGAAGGCATGAGCTGAGTTGTTTTGGGGCGCAGAATGCCATCGCACCCAGAAGTTCCACCGACCCTGTTACCAACAACCGGCCCCATTCAATTAGCTTTCTTTCGGCTCAGAGAAAGAACTGCACTTCTATCGATGAAGGATAAGCCATACAAGGCCTAGTGGAAAGAAGGAATGAACTTTTTGATTGGATGACAATTTCAATAGACCTAAAAGCATTATTAATCTTTCCAAAACCATGATGGAAGGTTTTAAAAAATGAAAGTGTTGAGTTTCACATGGACACATACCATTTTCAACAAAGTTTTGCTTTCTCTCCCAAACTGATGTATCAAAGAAATTGCAAACTTCACCAACGGCAAAAGATGTTCACACTTGCAAATGCACAGGAGCAGTACACTTATACCTAGATTCCTGTTGGGACAACTAACCGAGTGTCTCACTTAAATTATTTCTAAGGGGTGAACTGGACTTAGTTTGCATGGAGGGGATGGTTATCAGTCAAATAAAAATTTCATATTTGTTGGTCGTAACATTCACAATACTGAGCTTCACTGATTGCAACCAGACATGCACGCAAAATATTTCATAAAGTAATGGTTCTGTTTTTAAGCGTGCTCAGTGAAACATCAACATCTACTTATATATCACCCAATGATATTTGAGCAATGAAAAATATTGATGATGTTCCAAAAGTGACAAAATGCTCACGCATCTTCTCCAAGAGGAAAAAAAGAGGAGTCAGGTACAAACCGGTCTTGGTTCTCCAAGAGTCACCCTCAAGGGCGGCGAGGAGGGATGGGAGAACGAGCTTCACGCCGTGGGCGGAGAGACGACTCATGACGGCCTTGGCGCAGTCGTCTGTTGCTTCTCGCACGTACTGGTTTGAGTCTCCAAAGCAGAGGAGGAGGTGAGGGAGAACATGGACGATGTATGGCTCAAACAGCCTCCCCAGCATGTTACACAGCATCTCAAATGCAAACAGGGAGCCTAAAAGGGAACACATCTATTCACTGCTAGTTCTCCTTTCTCTATCACTTGCTGGAACTGATGCTATTTCTTCTTTTTCACTCTATCATCCATCACTCATCCACTATTAGGTTTGAATCCTTAAGTAGCACTTGGGCGTGGGAAGTTTGCGGTATGCATTACTTCACTTAATTAATCAACCCTTTGACAGGTACAGATGTATATACGGGGTGGGCAAAAAAAAAAAACAGCTATAATTTTTAGTAAGTTGTCAATCTGATTGTATGAGGCTGATTTTAGCTTTGTTTTGACTGCAGCCTTTCCTGGGATTCAGGTCGTTAATTATCGAGATGTCATGCTTCCCAAGATAACTTGGCTCAACTGTCTTGACACTAATCCCAGAGTAGACAGGTTATCTGGGGCAGGGAATTTGGCTGTTCTGACCGAGTGACATTTCCTGGGAGTCCATTCATTAAATGGAGATGTATTTAATGACCAGGAGTCCTGCTAGCTCCTTAGTGCACTCTCAGTTGAGACCAGCAAGAAGGTGGAAGATGAATCTGGTAGAAAGCCATAACCTTCATATGCCTTGCAAAATCTCCATAGGAGCTATAGAATGGGTGGATTCCCCTGACTGCCTATTCATGTCCTTCACTTTCTTTAGGTCTTTCTTCAGCGACTTGAGATTGTTTTAAATTTCAGTAGGGGTCCTTTTGATCCCACTTTTCTCAAGTTCTTTGGCAAGGAGAATGTATGCTTTCCTATTCCGTTGCGTGCCATCAAGCATGCTAGGAATATTAAGATCATGCTATAGAAGCAACAGAGTTTCACACCTTCCTCACTCCAAACAGTATGAACACTCATGGTGAAAAGGGGAAAAAAATGTCGCGAGCAGAAGGAAGAGTTCAGAACACCTGTTGAATGATGATTATCCCACTAATGCGTTTCGACTGAGATCTGAACCTGATACAGTCCCAGAGCGACCCTATGATTGACCGGTTTGCCCGGCGGCATTTCTCACAGTGGGAGGGGGGTGAAAGTCAGTGTATCAACTAATCCCAGAAGCTGACTATTCCAGGGCAATTCCAGGATAACGTCTCAGTCGAAACAAAGCTTCTGATGACATTTGATATACACATTGGGTGACTCAATTAGAGTTTGTGTGCCAAGTTTTAAAAAAATATTATAAAAACTATGAGATTGGCATTTAATTTACTTTTCATCACCAAAAAAGTAAGTGTTCATTTTTTCTTTCAGCCTAAAAATTCTCACAACTGACAAAAACAAACAAGCAAACAGAACAAAAACAGATGCACAAATGCCAAACATAAAAGCACACAATTTGTCTTAGGGACATATGTTTCAACTGAAAAGGTGCTCAATGTGCCCTCCATTCTGTTGAAAACAAGCCCCTAGTCTGGGACACCACTGACCAATGGCTCGGTCAATAAACCTTTGAGGCAGTACCTTCAATCTTCCTTTGTAGCATCATGCAGGGATGGAAGGTCAATGAATTCAGACTTCCCTTTCATCCTGGTCTCAAAGCTGTATCGATATTTTCGACAGCCCATTTTGTCGTTGGTCATCAGAAAATAACCACAAATCCTATAATTTTAAAGCCAGATGACTGAATTTTGGTATACAAACTTCAATTGTGTCACCTTATAAGCCTACAAATTTTAATAAAAAATTGGCAGCCTACAATGAGATTGATGACTTGCCAAAAATGATAGCTTTGTTTTCTTTGGCCCACCTTGTATATACAGGGTATTTGTATTTAAATGCAACATAGGGAAATTTTTGCTGCCTGTTAGTGGAGTTCAGCAAGTGCCTTATAGCTCACCGGGTTGCATTTGTAAGGATGAAATTTGTCACTGGTGTGTTTTCTTGCATCTATGCAACCTGGTGGGCCTGATAGCGTTCGTTGAACTCCACCTACAGGCGGCAAAATATATTCTATGTTGCGTTTAAATACGAACACCCTGTATATGTCATCCATGAATCTGCTTGTCAGGGTACTGATGTATATATACGTTTTAGGAATTTTTCTGTGTTGTGGCACTGCCGTATATATGTCAGTGGATCACAGCCTGTAGAAGTATGCTGCCTTGTCTTAATGATAATTAAGTTTGCTTTCCATTGATATATGGATGCCAGTATCAGATCAGCTTTCTTGAGTGCAATCCTTTTCCTGACAAATATGGTGTTCACCATGAAAGGCAGAGTTGTTGCATCAGAATAAATTGCAAATTTAGATTTCAGGAGTCTAGTGGTGAACCAGGTGAAGACAGATGTAGCAATGCTGAAATTTCTGAGTTATCTGGTGAAGATAGGGAATCTTAGGGCCATGATTTGATTGAGGGTGATAAGTACACCTGCAGCTAAGAAGAGTAAAATGAATGATATGGCAAGGAAGGGGAAAACATTAATAAACTGCAAAGTTTTATCAACAAACAATATGGATATACACTGGTTGGAGCAATGCTTACTGGTTGGAGTATGCTTATTCTAACAGTTTGTGGTTTGTCAAAAAAAAAACCCTCCCACCCTGGCAGAGCAGGCTATGCCTTAAAAACACACCCATTGAAGGGTTAAGAGAAATGATTCAGGTTCAGTTCTTCATGTCCATCTATAAAGAGAAATTCACAAATGAAATTGAAGTATTTGGGCAAATTCTAAAACTGTACTGTAAACTTGATTTGCTCTTCATACTGGTGAAATAGCCAATTCATAATAATTCTGACAGGCAAAGAAGACTTGAGTGGAAAAGGGCATTCTACATCCTCTTCCTTCAGAGAGGACACAAAAATCTCCATTCTCTGAATTCAGTATCTGCATTCAACAGATGCAGTTAAACCTATCTCTGGGCCCACCTTCACGGTGACGGTAGTTCTTCTTGTCCTGGATGGCAGCTGTGAGCCGATTCATGATCTCCAGCTGCTTGAGGGCCAGGATGCCGAGCCCCTTGACAAGACCTGCCACACCGTATGCAGCCCCCTTCCGTTCCCCATAGTTCTCTGATTCGAGGAGGAGATGGAGGAGCTTCTCAACCACCATGGGGGCATCTTCCTTGATGGCTGGTACCAGTGGTGGAAGGCAGTTTGCTACAGCTTCTTGTACCTGATAAGAAATGCAAGTACAAGTCCTACTATGAAATGCTTACCAAGGATTTCACTGCAGGTGACAAGTGGGTAACTTCTTGATAAGGAATTCTCTCTGCACTGATATGAAAGAGCTAGAGATAGGAATAGGGATGTGATAGCCAATGGGATGAACGAGGACAAAAATAGAGGGCCATATAGGTATGCCACTGGGGGAGCAGAAGGCAGAGGCCAATTGGCAGAAGTAGGGAAAACACCATAATTCATTGAGCAACATCTTATGCCATTTCTTAAAAGCCAGTTTTTGAAAAACTAACCCAACCAAAGGCCTCAAACTTTTCCAAAGAACTTGATAAAAATGCAACCTTGAGAACTTATTGCCCAGGAGGTGGTTACAACCCATAGGTTGGGAACCACTGGTATAAGGTCAGAATTCTTAACTTCAAGGCCAGGCATTCCCTTTCTAGAATTCTGACCATATCATGCCTTCACATGTGACTCTTACATCATACATGGCATGCAGGAACATTACCCTGCAATCACAGCTTTGAGTCAACCTGCAGATTCTCATTGCCATCATAAAGTTTACTCTTATTTATCTGGTCATCAATAATATGTCTGTCTCCATCCCTTGTGTAAAGTTGCCCTATCACTCCATGAGCAAAGAAGGAAAAATGTATCCTCTCATATCTCCACTTTTCCAAGATTAGAGTGAAAAAAAAAGAATATTTTAAAGCATGACACCCAAGCTCCTTATCCTTTGCACTTGACCCCAAAAGATTTCAGTATCCTATATATAATGAGCTACATGAGCAATAAAGGATGGAAAATAACTAAGGCCCAAATTCTGAAACCTCCTCTAGTTAATTTTTGTCCTTTAAAAATTCATAGACTCCTACAGGGGGAAAAAGAGCTCTTTAGCTTAAAGACCCTTTTGTCTCACTCAAATGAGGTTTTCAGCAGTAGAGCCTCAGCCTCTGATATCACAATATGGTGCTGCCTTGGTATTGGGGGTTATAAAGAAGTAAAGCATCCTTTTGCCATGCAAAACATGTTCCAAGCATGTTTATAGCAAAATACAAGAGTGAAAACTAATCTGGGATTTCTTTGGCTGAACAGCCTCATGGATTCCTGTCCACATTAAAAGTAAAAAACTAAATAATAAAGAAAAATAATTGACTACTGTAATACATTCTACTCCATGAAAAAGAAAATGAGTGAACCCTCAGTTAGGTTTTCAATAACCCAGGCAAAATTGCTTGTCCCCATCAAATCCAGATTAATGAGAGGTTCACTGCACCAGCTTCCACCCTTGAATACTAAGTGAAATTCTTTCAATGCTACACAGAGCCTTGAATGATTCTTTTCTGAAGAGGCAGTGATGCCTTCTAGCTTGAGCACTTACATGCGATCTTATCTGGCCTTGAGCATTAAAATGTAATCAGTACATATAAAGGCAGATAGGGCACATGGCTGTCGTCCCATAGTGATTTTTAGATCTTCACTATCATTTACAGTATATCAAATCCCTGGCATTTGAGGATTTGATTGCATGACTAGATCTGAATTGAATAATAATTTTAATTTTTTTGTTAGGTAGTGCCTAGTCCTAGGAGTGCCTCATAGGAAAGTCAGACACAGACCTTCTGCATCCTTGGTATGAAACAAAGACGAACAGGTACCTCTGTGGAAGATGAATGTGGAAAAAACCCAACCTGCTGAGATGGAGTGGAGAGGGACTCTATGAGCTTTGCAATGATGGGCTTGACACGGGGATCGTCCTTGTCCAAGTGCTTGGCCAGGGAGCCCATGATGATCACGATGCTCTGCCGCACCGTGTCATATGTCTGTGTCTTGGGGATCTTGTCCAAGAAGCTCTCAAACAGTGGCAAGAGTTGAGACACCATGTCCTGAAACATGCCCAAAAGCACAGAATCCTTCAGAGTTAACATTCTAGGGAAAGTCTAAATGCAATGTATAACTGAAGTCAAGATAAATATCTAGGCATGTCAAGTTGATCAAGATCCATTGAGTAAATTAAACTCCAGAATGCAGCATTTTAATGCCACATGGAAAATACACCATTCTCAAATTTTTAGATCATTGAGATGTACAGTATCTTGCAATGATTCCATATCATATCAGCAACATCATGCATCAGGCTTAGATAAAATCACTGATTTAAGATTTGGACCATTTCATTGAATAATAATAAAAAGTGCAGAATGACATGATTGGTGATAAGTCCACATCTGGGAAGAACAGTGCAATAGGAATACCTTGCCATGTGAGTTAACAGTGCCAAGAGCAACATCAAGCATGACGTGGCGAACATCAGGGTGCCTGTCTCTGAGTCCATCTTGAAGCAGGAAGCTCATGAGCTGCACAATTGAGTCAGGATCAAGGAGAGGGGCAAGCCCATGGAGGGCATGAGCTACACCCCATCTTGGCTCCCAGCAGTCCATAGGAGGTGCGATCTCTCGACCAAAGTCATCTTTCACCCCAGGAATCATCTGCAATAGCATGAACAAAATGCACAGCTCCAGTTGCAGTCTATTTTCACTGTAGAGTGGAGGGAATGTGAGGTTTTCCAAGGATTTTATGGGGCAATTGGGACAGGTAAGGGGGTAAGGGAAAGCATGCTCATCAATGCCAAACAGAGTGATTGCAAGGGAGTTAGAGAAAGACTAAAACTTTACAATATGAGATAAAAACATACCATCACTAATGCTTTTCAACTTCCTTATCTTAATAGAGCCGATCCTAGATTCTATTGCATATGTCTGCTTGAAATCCTACAGTTGATTATAGATGAAATTATGAGTATGTTTCTGTAGGTTACACAAAGCTTCCAAGTTTTTCCTTGTCCTGATATTCAACTTACAGATACAGAGACAAATCCCAATTTAATAACGTTATTTTCACAATCATGAAGTGCATCTGAGACTTGAGAGGTCTTTTTAACTAAGTGAATTGATTAGCTGTGGGGTGTGAAATCAATTTCACAATAAAGAAATTGACTTTTGCAACAGGACATGATGAACAAGAAAAGGACACTATATTTCAATAGAAATTTCTTTTTAGATCATTGAGATGTACAGTATCTTGCAATGATTCCATATCATGTCAGCAACATCATGCATTCAGCACCTGTCAATTTGTTTAATTCAAAGACATACCTTTATGCAATTAGTAAGGGCTAGAAAGTTTAATTGTCAATATCAGGGAACTAGTGTAATAAGAAACATGGCCAATAGTATGACGAATGACTCAGTATTTGGTATTTCTTACTGGTTCTCCTCCAAAATAAGTCAACTCCAACATATCACCCACACATCCTGAGAGTATGGCTCATGCCACTGTAATTCCAGCTGTGTTATTGGGTAATTGCAAAGACAGTATACCTGGAATTCATAGAGCATATTCATCACCTACTTTCTTAAAATAACTATAGTGCAGCATCATGTCAATTCATCATGCTTCTGTTCCCATTGTGTGCATGCCCAAGGATGCTAATTCAAGCTGCTCAATGTTTACTATGTTTTAGCCCATGCTTGAGGTAGATTACACATCTCTTATTACTCCATCTGTTGAAGACCCTGGGGTAACAGGAAACATGCATATTGACTCTTGATCAACATACTAAGGCTAGGCTTAACCTTTCAAGCTGTTTTCACGTACACCATATGTTCATCACTTAGGAGGTTGAGTCAAAACTTAGCGCTTGAAGGGCTAAATAACACATTCTGTTCCTATTCAGATCAAAATGCTAAGAAAACAGAGCAAAGATGAGAGATGAAGCCAATGATAACATCATAAACTCATGTTATTTTTCAAGGAGGCCATGCATTTCTTAAAGCATTCAGTTAATTTATGAAATGTAAAATCAGCATAAAATGCAAATTCAAATAATTGTACTATCATCAAAGCAGTAACTTATGTTCTAAGAAAGATACATGCAAGAGACATTCATAGGATTTCCTCATGATCAGCATTATCTGACTCTATTGACTTATTATGTTCAGTGCTGCCACAAATGAATTCAGCATTGTAAAATGGAGAAATAAGATGTTGGCAAAATCTACAAATGCAAAATAGCTCCCAGTGAATGGCTGAACAGTCCCTTAGAGAAATATTCCAGGAATAATGATAACAAATTAATGTAATCCAGATAAATAATTTTTCTCCAGTGAACAAGTGAAACTTGTGTTTCTCCAACTTTTATTGCCCTCAATCTCCCCCAGCCAAAATGTTACTCATTTGCATGATTGAAATGAACAATCAAGAGCATATGACATAATGAATTCATGATACTGACAAATTATCTGAAATCTATAAGCTGATTCACAGGAACTTTCAAAACAAAAGCAGAAATTGAACCAGACCATCAGTTTCTCTTGATATGAGTCAAGGAGACGCTCCATTATTGAAGGGATGAGCTTGAGGTTCTCCTGACAGAGGGCAGCCAGGGATTTGGCAGCTGCCTCACGTATCACTTGCTCCACGTGGGTCACGTCCTCCATCACTGCATCTGTTAAGTTATTCATCTGCATGAAATACCTCAGAAAACAAATTGAGCATATTCTACAAACAGTAGGATGTGCTTTAGGAAAACTACTGTTTCCAGAGCCACCAGCTTTCCCCCCCCCCCCCTGCATTTCCACTGGGTCCATGGTTTTTGAAGGAAATGCTCTTGAGTATGCCAAGTTCATCATTTGATATACACATTGTTCCATGTAAGAGAGGCCCCACAGAGTTAGGAATCCTAGAATGTGATTACAAACAAGAAAATTCAAGACTCAAATTCAAAATTTCACCTTTGCTTCATTGTCTGGTTGATCTTCCAAAGGAATTTCATTAATTTCAGAGCATTTTTACAGGAACAAAACAATGCAGAAAAATCCTCAGCAGTAAGAGTCATATTGCATTGAATGCTCTGCTTGGTGGGTGTTCCACTTAGTCTCTTTCCAGAATCTGAGCCTAAGCATATAAAGGGTGTCCCAACAAGAGCGCAAGATTTAATTTTGTAATAAAACGCATCATTTATTCAAAAAGTTCTGATATTTTTATTTCAGTAGAAAGCACACACACTGCGATTAATCGTGGAACACAATATCCGACAAATGTCCCCCACGACTCTGCTGGCACACTCTTGCTCTTTTGACGAAATTCTCGATGACATTTCCGCATAATTGCGGCTCAATTTCGCCAATGACACGTCGAATCTCCGCCTTGAGCTCAGTAATTGCTTGTGGTTTGTTGGCATAGACACGAGATTTCACAAACCCCCAAAGAAAGAAGTCGCACGGTGTCAAATCGCACAACCTCGGTGGCCAATTCTGGTCGCCATTGCGTGAGATGACACGGCCAGGAAATTTTTCTCGCAACAACTCAGTTGTTTCGTGCGCAGTGTGACAGGTTGCGCCGTCCTGCTGGAATCTGGAAGACATGTGGATGATGTCATCGAGAATTTCGTCAAAAGAGCAAGAGTGTGCCAGCAGAGTCGTGGGGGACATTTGTTGGATATTGTGTTCCACAATTAATCGCAGTGTGTGTGCTTTCTACTGAAATAAAAATATCAGAACTTTTTGAATAAATGATGCGTTTTATTACAAAATTAAATCTTGCGCTCTTGTTGGGACACCCTTTATTTTTCTTTGGGACTTGGCATTGTCCTCAATTACTTTCTCATTACTAATTTTGACAATAAATAATTTATACACTTAATCAATCCCCAAATTCTATGAAGATGAAATGCAGAAGAAAGAATGAAACCTGTCCCATACCATGAATAAGTAATTCAGTTACATTAAGGGCAAAGCAACTAATAACTGTAGAAACTGGGAAACACTGTCCCCAAAGAGTGGTTAAGCAGAATTTTCATTCCCCAATAGTTAAACCCAGTCTCTCTACTGAAGCATTAAAAATTGGAAACTTTTTGCACTATCCTTAAAGTAACAACTTACCTACTAATGACAGATACAAGTTACTTCAACAATAAATTAAAGGGATTTTAAAATGAACTATCTAGTCACTATGCCCCATTTTCATCATGATGTGCTCTGATATGTATTATGAACATTTCCACACCTAATATAGCATGCTCTTGTTTGAAGAAAACAGGTGGAGTTGAAGCCCTACCCTATCATGTACGTTGCCATGCATTGCCATGCCCCCTTATAGCAAGGATGAGGGAGCCCAATACAAGAGAAGGACACTTTATGAGATTAGTGAAGCTAGTTCAAAACAAGAATTCACAAGCAGAATAGGGATGAGTTGCAAGGCAACTCTGCCATCACGTCTGATGGCATCAGTTCTTGCACTCAACTTATTTCTATACTTCCCCAATAGAAACTGATACTTCTCCAATTGCATATCAATGATGTAAGCAAATATTTAGGGAATGAAAATTGAAAAGGAAATGTGCAGGATTATGAGACTGGTTGAGAGGGTGCCCCTCCAGGCTTGAAGCTTAGCCAGGCTTGAGGATGACCTTATAAGCTCCTCAGTGGCAGTAAGCATATTTCAGATTAATGCAAATGAAATTAGAATTGAGAGGCAACATTCTACTAATTCTTAGATTCACACTGGTACAAATACGAGGCATATAGGATTTTCAAAAGGAACTTCCCTTTCTGAAAAGAATATTTTTTGAATGCTTGTAAAAAAAAAAAAAAAAAAAAGGGTACAAACCTATGAGAACTTCCTGTGGGATTGAGAACTTCATTTTATCCCAAAGGTTGTTAGCCAATGATCGGATCTCTCCCTCTGGGTCAAATCGAGCCACCCAGATCCGCTTGGCTACACGGAGACTCTCTTCTGGTTGGCTAGCTGTCTCCTTGATAGTGCCAGCAACAATGGTCAATACCTGGTAATATAAAAGTTTCACAGAATAAGAAAATGGCAATAGGAATTTAATCATCCTGGTTAAATAATTATTTTACTGATCATCTCTTGCATCAGGGCATCTTTGGTATCAAGATGAGGAAAAAATACACAAAATACAAGCATGATAAATGCTTGAAAGTTTCATTATTAAGGAACAAAGCACACTCAAATGCAATTTTTTATCATTATTTTTTGAGGCTGAAATAACAAAAGATGAGAAATGAGAGAAAAAAATAGACCAATAATATGAACTAGTAAAGGAATGCCATGGGGAAAGCCCACATTTGGTACGATCCTCTTCAAAACTAGTGGGATTGGAGAGAAAAATCTGAATTAAACATGCATGAGAAGTGACAAAGGAGACAACCTGGAATTCTCCAAGATCACATTGGAATACATTCAATCAAATTTAAAAGTGAATCCTATTTTTGAGTACAATGTTCAGCGTCATGAATTGAATCATGCACAAACATGAAATGTGAAGTGCATTAAAAAAATACTAACCACCATGACAAAGCACCTTCACCTTTCAAGGAGAGCATTGTGATGCTGAATACTTCAATAGTCATGTTTCTTTTTTGCCAATACAAAATTTCAGCTTTGCCAAACATTTTTATATACCTTTTTAAATCAAGTGATTAAACAAGGAAAATTTCTCAAAAGAGAAACAAAGGGTTGCTATTGAAATATGCAATGGCAACAATGCTGTTGGCATTGACAAGTAGTCTCAAGAAGAATGAGGATGATCTATTGTTCTAAAAAAGCACAATTTTGAGGTGGGTGTAGCAATTTTGAGGGATCATATCTTAGTTCCTTTAGAAATATTAGTTGCTACTTTACCAGTTGATAAAAAGTTTAAAAAGTTGGTTGGTAAGTCCACACAAAAAGTTTTTCAAAAATGAATAACATTAGATTCAAAACTGAAATTTCAATTTGAAAAACACAGCTAATAAAGCACTCAGCATTACTATGCTATTCTGGGAAAGGTGAAGGAATTGTGCTACAATGACCTACTTTTTGGTTGCAACTGTAGTAGTCATTGCACTGGTTGCCAAAAATGCAGGCCTAAAGACAGTATAAAGTGAATCTAAGACTGCATATTGGTTTCTTCAAACAAGTAGTACATTTTGGATGCATAGTCATCTCACTTGCTAACATAATATTGCTCAATACCTGTAGCAGGTCCCACTTTTCATGTTTAAGAAAAATGAGACTCTCTTCCTGCCCATAGTACCTTCAGGTAACAGTATTTGTCTTTGTAGAAATCTTATAGAAAAACAACCATCAATGACATGACTGTCAGATAAAGGACTTCCTCTTTTGGCCCAACTTCTCCAGTCTAGGAACCTCATGATCACTTGATGCTCTTCCCAACTGATTTTCCAAAGGTCAAAATCTTCTTTCTGGGAAGGCTTCACAGTGGAATAAATCAGAACAGCTGGATGACTCACCCGCAGAGAGGCCTCTCGTACAGCACTGACTGAGCTCTGAAGCCCATGAAGGAGCACCACAAGTTCACGTCCAGACATGCGAGCGCAATCAGGTCGGCCACTCATGGCCTCAGCAATGTCCACCATCACGCTGCATGCCTGGAGTTGCACTTGCCCTCCACTTGTTCCAATTAGGGTTGTGAGGAGCTCCAACATCTGTCCAAGGGGCATGTTCCCTGGATGAAATGGGCTGGAAGTATCCTCTTCACGTAGATGGCAGTGCATTGACATGACCTGTAACGATAAGTATCATAACAAAAAAAATAAAGGACCATTTATCAATACAACACAGGAGTAAAGAATCATAATTCATACAAACTCAACGCACTTTCAACAATTTTTTGGGTCATCTCAGATTTGGATTGAACTTGGTGTGCATGAAAAATAAAAGAATATCTATTACTTATGATCCTGAGATTAACTGTTACTGAGAAAAAGCATAAAGAAATGAGATTACATGACCTTGCAAAAAGGAATCAAACACTACATCATCTCTGCCTTTCTCCTCAAAGGTGGGGTGGACATTAATTGATGGCTTGCAGGCACCAGCCACCAAATAAAGACAAAATGAGCAGCAATAAGTTGCAAATAGCAGCTGGTAATACAGAACAGTCACACATAGAAAGATGCAGAAAATTGAGGGCTTCTCCTTTGTCCCAAAAGATTTGTGTGTTTTATCAAGGGTTTCTGAGAATCAGTTATCTTGAACATTAAGGAGCATCATCATTACAATTATTGACTTCATACACTTAAAAAAGGGATTATTTCAATTACATCCTGCCTTAATTATGACAAACATTTCACAGACTTTGCTCTCTTGAAATTTTCAGTTCAATAACTGAGGAGAGGGCAGCATGGCAGTGAAGGCAATAGATGAATTTAGGAAGATGGAGAATAAAACCTTGAGAGCCTTCAGTGTCAGGTCAAGCTCCTGTGGTGCAAATCGATGGAGAGCAGCATTGAGGAAAGGGAAGCAATAGGTGAATGTTGGAGCATCCAAGTCCTCTGGCTGTTCAACTGAGTATGTGTGCAATGAGGCCATGACCCGTCCTGCAGCAGAAGCCAGGTCCTCCTCTTCCCATTCAGGGTCAAGGTCACATCGGGGACCCAGGAGACGCAAGGTCACATGCCCAATGCTCTTCCCTGCACCAAAGTCAAATTGATCATGTTAAAAAAAATATTTTCTTACATGAAGTGTTATTTCTGAACCATCTCATTATAGAATGAAACACTATTTTGACCTCAGATACACCATGAAGAATGAAATTGAGTAAAAATGCACATCAACATCAGCATTCATACTCATACTGAGCCTGATAGCTGAGTTCATCATAACAAGCAAAAGAAAGAAAGGGAAAACAAACCAAGACAATCATGGGACTTGTCAAAGACAACACTACGCAGGAGAAGGAAGGTATGGGCAGCATCAGGTGCACACAAAGGAGATGAGAGGAGAGGGAGAAGGTGCTCCAAGATCTGAACCAGGTAACATTCCAGTGACAGTGAATTCCCCTGGATCCCTGCCTCCAGGAGATGCATGGGATTCTGGAACTCCTCATACATCTGCTCACATAGATTAACATAAGAAATGAACCAACCTCTGTGGAGAAATACTGCATGCAACAAAAAATATACATGTCCCAGCATTGCAGAAATCAATTACTGCTGACAAAACAGCCTCACTTGATGTAAAATGGAGTGCATCTTCTAAAACTCTAAAATAATAGTTTATTTAGTAGTGGGAACTTCAGGCAAAAAAAAGCCTTGGAAAATGTAATGATTTCCAACTCAACCTTAGTTAAATTTTCATTATTGCACATATTTATGGTCCAAACATATCGTGCATTTTGAATTAAAATATTTTCTTCCAATAATGGCTTTTCATTCCAAGATGATGAAGGTGGGCAAATGACCGATTTGAGGTGGGCCCGGATGGCAGATTCCTTTTCAAGTTGGATCTTCATGGCTTCCTTCTGCTTTGGAGTGAGGCCTTCTTCCATCAGCCCCTTCTGCTTCTTCTTTGCCTCCAGCTCCCTCCTCAGCTCCAGCTCCTCCATCTGTTCCTTGTATGAGTATGCCTTGCTCTCACGCTTGATGTTCTTCACATTCAGGATGCTCTCCTCCTTCAAACTGAATTCCCCAAAGAAAAAATAGGGAACAAGGCTTTCATTCCAGAACTGCAGAATATGCAGAGTTCATCACCAAGCTTTCACTTCAGCTAATGGACATAGAATTTGGAACTGGTTAACATTTTCAGGTTTGGGCATTTAAAAAGGCTTTCATCATTAGGGCCTAGGGTTCTTTAAAAAAATTCATTTTTTTTTACAGAAACAAATAAAATCTTATCTTCATAAACCTGTTTTTAATGAATAGGTATTTTCCTTTTTCTTTCATATAGTATTCTTTACATCTCTGTATTTAGTGGATAACCATTACAAAAACATTTTGATTCAAGGAATGCTTTAAATCTGGAAAAAATTCATACAACTTCTTCTCAGTCCCGAGAACAAAAATATATAACTACAAGTTCTAAACCTGTCACAATTCACAATATGACCACCCTTGCAAAATAATGGCAATAAAAATTTTTTTTATTACAAAACCTGTCATGAAGCATAGTCAATTGCTTTTCAAGTGTAGTTCATGCAAATGGCTGTGCCTGTGCAGTGCATGAGCATGAGCATTAGCCTCAATGCGTAGATGTGTAAAATTATAGACACTTTCATGCAGTGACACAGCAAATGTAACATAAAAATGACTAATGTCTATCAGATCTACAGGGTGTCTAAAAATGTATACATACTGTAATAAATCAAATATATATATTAAATAATTCAGAGCAGTATTCAGTTCAGAGCAGAATTCAGTTCAGTGTGTGGAGAAGCAATAGTTTGCATCACATGGTTCACTACCACTTATGTTAGAACTGTCCACTGTTAGTATTAGGGCTTGCACTAATTTTATTGCCTTAAGGGTCCTCAAGACTCTTAAGTCTTATAAGAAATGGTCACTCAGAAAAATTTGGGGGTCCCATCGCAATTGAAGCATGATGAAATCTTGCAAAGTTGCACAAAAAGTTTCAAATCCCACAGTCAATGTTTTTCCTTTGATTTAACATGACCGAAAGCATGATATTCAATCCAGCAGCTTTAGGACTACTTCCAACATTTTCTCTTAAACAAATATCCCTTGGGCATCTTCAAATTTTCAAATGACAAATTTCTGCTTATTACGACTGCTAGATGCGGAGTAGGGATTTTTCTTATTTGCATTTGAGCAGAAATCACAGGAAGCTCTTCCATCTCTATAGGAAAGCCAGGAATACATTTTGACCCATGCCTTTTTCCATTTTTAAAATCTTTTTTCCTTCATTGTGATTCATGGTTCACAAGCTACCCATTTTCATAATCGCCCACGTCCATCTCTTTCCCTTCGGTTTCACTAGGTCAAAGCCTATGGCAATCTTCCTTACTCTGTGCACATTAAGTGGAACGATGACATCACCTTCATTTAGAATTTATACCTATGCTGTTGATACCTTTCTTTATGTGCCACTAGGCCCATGTTCAGGAACATCTAAACACATGCCAATGTGTGATTCGAATAAACTAACATCGTACATTTTCCGCTTGTAACTGAACGAGAAGAGTGTTGGCCCAAACCGCCCTGAAGTCTAAATTGAAATGAACGGAAATAAGTCATGAACGTGTGAACACAATGCATCATGCGCCACTCATCACTTTCACGTCACACACCTTCCTCGGCAAGGACTCCCCCCCCCCCCTCCTGTCACTAATAAGGTTGGGCACGGGTTTATTTAGGCACGATTCTAAGAGGCAACTGCCAACTGGTAGTAAAAAAAATCTAGAACTTTCCCACGTGTCCCTGGGACCCTGATGTTTTTCTGTTGTGCGTCCCTTCAGAATTTTCTGCGTATAGGACGCACATCTGCGCGTAAACGCAACCCCTGTAGTATCCAGGCACATGTTGACAGTGGACAAAAGAGCCTGATGAACAACAGAGCTACAAACTCATGCACAGGTTTCTGCTGGGATAGCAGTGTAGGACGCCTCAATATTCATGCCTGAGTTCTTGAAGTGTAGCTGGTTTCCAACTCCTTTTGTACCACCAGCATCAAACTTACCAAGAAATCTCAAAATTGTTAGTCATGTTAGTGGTGCAGTTGCAAATTCACTTCTCCACATTCTTTGCACCTCATACATGTTCTCAGATTTCCAGTACCACTTCAAAATCAACTAAGGTTGCTCTAAGGTCAAAGTGAGCTAGCACCATCTTGTGTTACACACTGCTTCATGGGTAACAGTTGCCTGATGACATACAATCATTCCAATACACAATAACACCATCTATTAGGTACACATCACACTAGATATCATCCCTCTCTGAATTATATACAAGGTGTCCCATTTATTGTGGACGATTTTAATAGCGTATGAAATTCTTCCTACTTGAGCAAACCAAACAAAATTTTCACAATACAGTGGATTCCGCTTTATTGGGACATGCTGGTTCCAGGTCGTTTTGCCCCAATAAAGTGAAGTTACCTCATAGTAAAGAAACATGAGGAACCCAGACATGAATGCGAAAAAACAAGAGTTATGATTCAAGGAATTTGTCCATAGTGCCTTGTTTCATGTCTGAAAAAGCTTTTCTAAAGACTTCTTCAGCACAAGTGTCAAGAGCAGCAAGTCCTGTATCGCCCAATCCTTGCTCGTTAAAGTCACCCCAGAGGATGTCCACTGAGTGCCTGGCCTCAATGTGAGTTACTGTTGGTAAAGTCTCAGGCTCCTCGTCTGCATCAGGCTCCCCCAAACGAGGCCTTTTGGCAACAATTTCCTTGACTGTATCGTCTTTGAAGTAATCACATTTGGCGAAGCATGGTGAGTATTCGTTGATGTTGAGTTAGGCTTCTCTGTGGGTGACATCAAAAATGACTGAACCTTCCTGAAAGGTCAATGCTGGTACCTCTGGTCCAGGATGAAAGCCAGTCCTATGGAAGCAGTTTGCGATGGTCTCTGACTTGACAGCCCGCCAGCACTTAGCCATAAAGCAAACGGTGTCGAGGAGTGAGACCTGAGAACTCATGTCCGTGGTGGGTATGGACGACTGGCTTATCAGGTAGTCTTCAAGCTAAAGAGTCTTCAGATTCTTGATGACACCATGGTCCATCAGCTGGATGATCGACATCGCGTTCGGGGGCAGGAATTCGAGTAGTATGTTCTTCAACATTTCTTCAACCTTGTCCAGGAGCACGATCTTCTCACAGAGGGATAAATCCTTGCGCATCAACATCTTGAGCACTGATGTGGACAAAATCCCAGACAGACGGCTTAAATCCACCAAAAAGGGAAAAACCCAACCTGAACTAATGGTTCAAATCCGTAGAAGAAACGGAGAAACCCCTCTCAGACTGACAGCTGCCTCCTGACCCCAACCCCGACCTTGCCCCAATAAAGTGGATTTTTGTCCCAAATATGTGGCAAAATTCTAATGCACTTGCATAGAAATGATTCCGTTCCTGACAAAATGTCCCGATAAACCAGCTGCCCCCTTAACCAAATTAAGTGGAATCCACTGTATTTAGATGTCTGTTTAGCATTTATTGTGACAAAGTTTCAGCCAAAAGAAATTCACTAATTACAAGCTATGAACTTCAATATGACCCCCATCGATTTCAAGCACTTTTTCTAATCATGCCTGGTATTCAAGCAGCATTTTCTGGCGCATTTTAACAGTAATGTCTCCAAACGCAGCAGTAATATGTTCCTTCAGTTCGGGAATGTCCCTCGGTTTGGTCACATAAACTTTCAACTTGACAAAGCCCCACATGAAGAAGTCACACAGCGTTAAGTCAGGAGAATAGGCCGGCCAAGGCACTGTTGGTGATCCATCCATCAATCTGGAAAATTTTCATTCTGCCAGGCACAAACTTCTTTACCAAAATGAGGTGGGGCACCATCCTTTATGCCAAAAAAAATTCTGGTCAGAAATTGAATCACAAGGATTGGCTGATGATCTGGTCTTCATGCAGGATGGGGTGTAAGGAGACTTTACCGTTGAAATGCGCCAGAAAATGCTGCTTGAATACCAGGCATGATTGGAAAAAGTGGTTGAAATCGACAGGGATCATATTGAAGTTCATAGCTTGTAATTAGTTAATTTCTTTTGGCTGAAACATTGTCACAATAAATGTTAAACACACATCTAAATATTGTGAAAATTTTATTTAGTTTGTTCCAGTAGGAAGAATTTTATATGCAATTAAAATTGTCCGTGATAAATGGGACACCCTGTATATTTGATTAATTAAATTGTGTCTTCATTTCTTTGAGACACCCTGTATTGGTTGCATTTATGGAGACTGTTTTGCAGCATATGCTGCCTGAGGCCTGAATTTGTCAAACTCAAACCCCAATAAGAGTTCCAAAATGGTATCTCTCACTGCAACTGAAACCTGTGTCAAATTGAATACTGGTTATTGGGGGCTCTGGAGGAGCTGCCCCCTCTCTTCCAATAATACTTAGACCAAGGATTTCTGCATTCTGGCCGATAAGTCTTTTGCAGTGCTTCATCAAAAATAAAAAAAAATCAATCAAAAGAAAAAAATTGATGGCACAGCAAAGATTATTGGGTCATAATTTGTTAGCTTCCCCTTCCCCATATTTGCCGCAATCAGCATCAGCATTGGCTAATGTGCATGAGGCCAAACCCAGCCATCGACCCATTGACCTTAGAATGCAACTTGTGCAGCAGCCCTTGTGAGAACAAAAATTGTTTCATATTGAAATTGGGTGTCCATGGGCAAGGTAGGCAATGCCATGGATTTTAGTGCATCAGGTTATTGTGATATTTTTACATTGAGATTCAAGCAGCTCATCCACTTGAAGACAATTGACTAGGTGGGTGAGACAGTTTAAATTAAATCCACCCCAGCTTACATTCTACTGTTTCCCTATTTGTTAGTTATATTGTTACCTCTACATGCTGCATTTACTGAATGCATTACACCAGGGTTCACGTTAACTCACTATAGTGAATCTCAGACTCATTTTCTTGGAGGGACTCATACTTGCAAAACATCCAAGTCTGTGGGACTCATCAACAACCACCTGAACACATTCCCAATGAGCTGAAGCTAGGTGCCAGAACTCAAGATTTAAAAATGTTAGTGTGAACCCTAATTACTGCACTCTTGACGGTTCAATTCAACCCATTGATGCTTTTAGAACTGCAACTGTGAAAGCCCTTGAAAAAAAAAACCAAAAACAATAGAATTTTCAATCAGACTCACTTCTCAATGACAGATTTTTGGTAAAGTGTTCCCTCAGGAGTCTTGAAGATCTCATACTCCTCCTGGGTGACTTGCATGTACTCACACCGCCCAATCCCATCAGTCACCTGCTTCAACATCTTTGCCACAAAAGAATCTGATGCATATTTCATCACAGTTGACACCATGCCCCTGTGGGTCTGCAAAATAAAAATATAGAGTGAACATAGTAGCAATGCAAAAGGAAAAGTTCATAGACACAAGGAACAATAGGAAATTACTGACCAGAGATCCATTAAACTGCTGAGAGCAGAAGCATAAGAGTTTGGACTCGTTTGCCTCACAAAAGTCAGCTGGCTTGCGCTTCAACTTCCGACACAGGGACAACCACAAATCTCGATGTGTCTCCACTGTTTCAAGGGGGTGAGAAATTACGCATAAAGAAGCAATACTTCAAAATGAAGGCCTACAAAATAAAGTAATAATGCCATGATTTCACTTTTCCAGACGAACAGTATTCGATTGATTCAGTGCACTATTATAACATACACTGACTTAAACACTCCATAAAATTTTCCTCATTTTTTTGCATTTCTCTTAGGTATCAAAAATACTATTCATCAATAAACTAAACATAATTTGAAGAGATTCAATACATTCCCATTTGAAGTTGACTCAAAACCAAGAACACTATATGGCAACTCATCCTATGGGTATATTTATAATGGAATCCTTTGCTATCAGAACAAACTGGTTTGGCATTTAGATCTTTCAACAATCAGTTTTCCTGTATAAAAAAAAAGCAAACAAATGTGTAACTATCAAATTCTTTCTCTGATGAGGAAATACATTCTGCCTTACATAATACATAATTTTTACCTGGTGAATATGATACATTCCCAACACATCATCTAAGTTAAACAGCACATGTCTCAGTCATGCAATTAATGTCTAAGAGCTTAAAAATGACATAAGCTTGAATCAAGAGTAGTCAAAGCAACCAAGACTTCTGTCTTTCCACTGCCAACATATCCCATTTTGAATTCTACCAAAAAATAAAATCCGGAGAGGTTGGGAAATGAGTGAGTGGACAGACCAACAGCAGGAGAGTGTGCAGGGAGGAGAGCAGCCAGAAGAAGTTCATCTGCTTCAGGAATGGAGACCTTGCAGCCAAGGACTATAATGGCAAGAGCATGGGCAACAGACGAAGCTAAGATTTCTGGCGATGAAGATGTCCCTGTTGCTGCCCCTTGTCCTTGACCTTGATCCTTACTGTCCTTCCCCACCCGACTTCCTGGCTCTGGCACCTGTAATATACTCATGACATTTAAGATACTGTCAGTCAAAACTCATAAACCTCATAGCCCATCAATACATTGGGGACAATTCAACCCAGTTGCACAAAGAGAATAGACCTTATCTATTCTTCCCCAAGGAATACTTCACATGCAGGGAAATATATGGTTCCATTTCTATTTTCACACATAAAAAGGTCACATTTTTATAAGCTAGGCTGCTTTAGGAATTTTAACAAATGGTAAAGCCTATACTCCACATGTACTATAAATTTGGCTTCTTGTGCACATAACCCTACATCATCCATCACAGAGAAATAAAAAACCATACTTTTATACTGACAGGTGTCAAGTCAATGCCTTTATGTGGTTATAATACATACCCAAAAAGAGTGTGATGAGGGGGTGAGGGAGAGGGAGGGGGGGGGGGGGGGAGAGAGAGAGATATGGACCTTGACATTGACAGTTTCAAGATATGTGGAAAGATCTTCCAGGACAGCCAAGGCAATATGCTCTCCACCAAGGCTCTGTAAGATCTTCTTGGTCTCTGACACCACCTGGGTACGCAGCCAGAGCTTTTCTTGTCCCACTCCACTCACATGGGTCATAACATAGACCAGGGCATGATGTATGGGCTGAGGCTCGCCCTGAATATGCTGATCATGCTCCATCACCATGGACTTGGAGTACAGCACAACATGATGCAAGGCTGAAATAAATCAAACATATGTAAAATTCTCCATACCAGCCAAAAGCAGAACTTGCAGTGCTTGTAAGATTCATGTTGGTATTGTCTGCCTTGAGTCAAGGGATCATGACTGTGCTGACCTATGGCAATCCCTGGCAATGTGGTACAGACAGCATTCATGTCTTTTCAGAACTGGACTTAATGATTTTTCTCACCTTCCCATTTGTGGTCATTCATCAGTCTTGCCAAAAAATATCAGCATTTCATATTGAATATTTGAGCCCTTTAAGGAAAGAGTTTTTCGTCAAGAATTTCATGCCAATGATTTCCCCCCCCCCCCCCCCAAAAAAATACTTGGTTTAATCCTTACCATCAGTAGAGGCTTGCTGAAGAAACTTCTCATTGAGAAATATCTGTTTTTCCATGTTTCCAGCAATATTCCAGAATGGACAGGCTTGTGAATCAGCCTCTGGTTCTGCTGCTAACAGCCGTAACACCAGGACAGATGCTGACAAACCTTCTGTCACCACAGCAACCTTTTATGAAGATGCAATTTTATGATTTGATGAAGTTCAAGATGGAAAAGGGACATGAGCAAACAAAGAGGAAGAACCTGAGTGGGTTGCTGGGCTGCCTTCTCTACAGTCTTCATAAGGAAGGGGAGGAACTCCTTTGCTTGGGATAGAAGTCGTGTGTGGAAGCAGGACTCCATGACCCGAATGTACCCATTTCGAATGGCAGATGTTGATGACTTCAGTGTTGGTCCTTTCTGTGCAGGTTCCCAAAAAATAATCTTATCCTTCTGATCTATTAAAGGTTTATTTTAACATAGGTAATTACATTTTCACATTGGGGAATTGCTCCTCACAGTAAGAAGACACCGGAGTAAGAGCATGCAGAGCTACTATCCAATAAGTGCATGTCCAAAATCAAGAATGCACAAACTTAACTAAATGTAAGGAGAAAAAATACTTTTTTAAGGAAAAAAATCCTTTCATGAATTAAACATGAATTAAAATGAGTTAAACATGAAATTAATACCATCACAGGCCTGGATGAGCCATCAATTAACTTTATAAAAATGCCTAAATCTCATAATTACCACTAGTGACTTATACATGTCATGAGAATGGCTGGAAGATTGGATGGCAGGAGAGGACGAAAGAAAGCCAGGGGACGGCTGGGAATTGAACCCAGGCCTCCTGATTGCCGGTCAGGTGTGCTACCACTGCACCACCGAACCCGGGACATTCAATCATGCCTCTCAATGCCATCCATATCATTACACATATATATTCGAGGTCTGTTCAAAAAGTATCGAGACTGAACATAATTTGTGGTACAAAGTATTGGGTGGGGGCGTGGCTTTGCTGAACATGTCTGGGAATGTTGGGACTCCTCTGGACAGGTTTGCAGCTCATAGTGTTTCTCCAGTTTTCTGTGGCTAGTGGTTGAAGCAAGATTGTAAATTTGGCAGCGGTTCATAGTTTGGTTTGAAATGATATGCAATTGACTGTTTGAGAGATAGCAGATGATGTTGGAATTTCTGTTCGTTCATGTAATTCAAAACTAACTGGTGATTTGGGAATGAAACTCGTCTCAGTGAAGTTTGTATCCCATCTGTTGACCAATGAGCACTTTTTATCAAGAGTAACAACAAGTGATAAAACATGAATGTATGGATATGATCCAGAAACAAAGCAGCAATCATCACAATGGAAATCTCCTTCGTTGCCATGACCAAAGAAGGCAAGGCAAGTGTGGAGCAAAACGAAAGTGATGCTGATTGTTTTCTTTGACCAGGAAGGAGTTGTGCACTACAAGTATGCACCACAAGGACAAACAATCAATCAACACTTTTATTTAGAAGTTTTAAAATGTCTTCATGATGCAATTTGCAGGAAACCACCAGAAAAGTGGGTGTCAGAATCTTGGATGCTTCACCATGACAATGTGCCTGCCCACTCAGCACAGCTTGTGAAGCAATTTTTAGCCAAACTCCATATCCTACAAGTGCAGCAGCCTCCATATTCACCTGATATGGCCCCATGTTACTTTTTTCTCTTCCCTCAACAAAAGAAAATATTGAAAGGAAGATTTTATGATGTGGAAACCATAAAAAAATGCAACTGAACAGCTTTTAGCAATTCCACAAATTGCTCATCAAAGGTGCTTCCAACAATGGCAGAAATGTTGAGAGTAGTGTGTGGCTGCAAAAGTAGCATACTTTGAAGGAAATTAAGCCAAAACCCTAGTAAATAAAATATTTTGTTTCCTACAGCATCAATCTCGAGACGTTTTGAACAGACCTGGGGAATATTTCAATATATAGAGAATATTTCAAGCAATTTAGAGTACCTTCAACCATTCAATCAATTTCATGGGGACTTCAGATACATATTTCCCACTCCAAAGAGCCAGCATCTCCAGAGCACACAGCAATGTTCCCTCATGAACTGGAATGACAAGAAATAAAATTTTTTGCTGAATGATGACTTCAAAAGCGACACGGAGGAAAACAAACCCTTACCTTCAGTTTCAAGAACTTTTATGAAGTGTTCACAAGCCTCACTTGCCAAGCCTTGCATGGATACACCCAGTGCAGAGTTGTGACTCAGTTCTCCTATGCCCTGAAAAGGAAAAATATGACATTGATGCTGACAATATATTTCAACATTCACTTAGCAAAAGAACAAATGAATGTTCAATTCTTATGCAAGTACTCATTTTTTTCAACAATTCCATTCACCTGGAGCATGCTGATTTTATGTGCAGCAACAGTGAGCTTTCCTTCAGAGCCTTGGAGAACTGCAAAGAAATGCCTAAGAAGTTGAGCAATTATCTCAGCATCACTGCACTGTCGAGCAAGACTTCGACATGCTTTGACAGCATGGACTCGAGTTCTCTCCTCATTGGAGTGCAAGTTGGCTGCAATGAATAGCACCATGAATTAAAAATTATTTTCTTTGAGAAAGAAGAAGTAATGTTATTTATTGTGCTTACTGGCAAAGATCTTTCCAAACTCTAGGGCATATTGGCTGAGGTCAAGGCTAAGTCCTGCTAAGGTCTCAGACACAGTTGGCAGAATGATCTCAGGATTGCGCAGAAGGAACTTCTTGAGGTTTGGAAGGAGGAGGGCCTGGAACCCAGGATGGTCTAACACTCGCAAGAAGGGAGCACACAAGGCAACAAGCTGAGTTGATGGCTCCGTCTTCTGAGATATCACATGACTCACAAATCCGTCGACCAGTGAACCCTGAACATATAATTTCCCTATCATTAACATATTCAAAAAGCAAAATGAAAGCAATCTCAAGTATCTTCCTTTTATGACAATCAAATGATATGAAACAGGACCCATAAAAATTAAGAATTAAAACACCTGCCTTGAAAGGAATGTTAGCATAAAGGAAAATTGTGAAGCTATGCTAGCTTCAAAACCGAATGTCAGGATCTGACGCTGTGGCATATAATGTGGAATGCAGGTGCAAAGTAATTTGGCATTCTTATTACAAGACCACAATGCATATACAGTCAATGCTTGATATATAATGAACTCAAAGGGACAGGCTAAAAAATTGTTTATAATGAATATTCATTATATAGAGGTTCATTGCTTGATATAATGTACTCCAAGGGACATTCATCATAAGAAAAATTAGATAGAGGTTTGTTATGTCTATCATTGACTGTATAAAAACTCTTCCATTATTAACACGTTGACGACCAGCCTATTTTTGCTTGTCCGCCGCGTGGGACCACGCACATTTTTTTTTGTCAAAAAATGCGTCCTGCCATCAGGACGCATGGTCCCAGAAAACATTCTTTTTGCAGAGTTTTTTTTAAAATGTTGAATTTTTTGGCATTTTTATCAGTAATTACGAAATCATAATCTTCTGGAACGTGTGATCGCTAGATACTCGATATCTGTGCACAAGACATTTTTTGGAACCTGCATCCTGCCATCAGGACACATTGTCCCACGTGGCAAAAAATCTGCATCCTGGCATCAGGACACATTGTCGCCAACGTGTTAATTCCAGGAAAAATTCAAATGAATGCCATTGATGGCTGATCAAATTCATGCCTTACATTTTAATATGGGCCTATGAATTCAGGGATTACCATCAACAGCATAAGAAACTCATACCTTGCACTTTTGTACAAGTTCAGTTTGCTTGTCATCCACCAGACACTTTAAGAAACACCCTCCAAATGCCAGTAGTGAACCTCCACAGTCAGACTTATGTATTCTCTCTGCTGTGAGAGACAGGAATGAGGTGGAACGCTTCCAGCAGCAATGTAACATCTTTGATGCCTTTTGCAGTAAGAGATTCTGTCCACACAAGGCAATGGACGTGTATAGTGCAGCGAAGCTCTCAATGAGGGCAATAGCATCACCCTCCTGCAGCAATGAAATGTCTGCATCCTTGGGGAGGCTTTGAATGCTAGTCACTAGCCAGGTAAGTCCAGTGAAGTTTGTCCTCCCAATATTAGGTCTAACAAAAGAAAAAGAAAAAAATAACCCACACATATATCATATCCACCATATATATTGAATGAGGGAAAAATAGGCTCTATCCATCTTGCACACACCTTAATGACCCAAGCTATGTTAAGTGCCCATCATGCCTCTCAATCTATACATCATTTTCCCCCTCATATCCCTTCCCTGCCATCTCCCCAACACAGAACCACCATGCACAATCCTACTCTACTCTGGGGATGGGAAATAGAATAGTGAGCAGGAATAATGCACCTATGATGACCAAAAGACATCTCCAATGTTTGTGTGAGAATGGATCTAAGCAGAGTATGCATTGGAAGCTCCTCTAACGTTAGACAGTGCATCTCCAAGACATTCAACTTTGATGAGGTATGACTTCAAGGTGTACAAATGCATAGTGGCATCCCTAATCTTTCTCACATTGCATCAGTATCTTCAATTCCTACATCTTAACTGTTTCTGGATTGAACCACCTGATTTCAACTGGTTTCAACCACCTACAAAAGTTAGTTGGATTCATGCAGTCATCTCTGTCCCACCTATACTTTTAATCCTCCACCAGCAGCACAACCATGACTTACCAATATTTTAAGTGGTGTTTTTGATCTACACTATAACAATTACATTATGATCATCGTTTTCAACAAATCTTAAATCTTATGATATTTCATGTTATCATTAACATACTTTATTACTTACTTAATAGGCTTGGCATTAGTGAATAATTGGCTGCTGACATGTGAAAAGATGTATGTTCTGGATATTTAGGCATGTGCAAAATGAATAACACCTAAAAACAGAGTCAATCTGATTCACTAAAACCTAAAAGAAAACATATTGCTTACGTATTCACTGAAGGGATGGTTGATGAGTAATCATGAAATACATGGATGAGATTTTCCAATGACACCAGGCCATGCTGCTTAACTACAGCAACAATGAAGCATTTGACATGATGGCGAGACTCATTGTCTTGATACCGTGGTAGGGTCAGAAGTAGGAGACGAAGGGCAGTTTTTAACCCTTGCTCAGGGAGCTCTGAAAAAGAAAGTGGGAATGATAATTTCATAGGATAACCAAAGCTGCTTTCTCAGTCAAGTAAGGCTTTTTTTTATAAAGTGGGGTCTTACACAGAATGGCAGAGTCAAAATGCAAGGGGCTTCTTAAGAAATCATTACTGCTCTCATCATTGGGCTTCCCTTGTTCTTGTATACTACTTGGGTTTAATTCTACCTTCAAATGCCAGGACAATGAATGTCTTGTACATGCCTCCCAACCCTGGGAGTAATCTGCACACCTTTGCTACAGACCTTCCCCATGTACACTGCAATCCCCTACCTTTCATTGCTGGATGCTATACACATCCCAGCACATAACAATATGGAGATCCATTTGCCACCCATGAGGGAGTGCAACTCCTGGGTTGAAAGCAGGACCTTACATCAATGGAATGCAAAAGTGTAACCCTTGAATCATTAACATGCTTTCTGCCATGTCATAACCATCTTGCTTCACCATCAGCATTCACTCATAGGCCTATGTGAAGGTTCATGGAAATGGACTTTAACAACCCTGGCAAAAGAGAAGTCTCATGGACAGAAAATGGAAACTCAAGCAGATCTGAGTTGGTCACTGCAGCAACTTTTACTGGCACTCTTGGGACTTACTGTTTTGTGTGCCTTTGCACACCCTCCCAATTTGATATGGGGACAGACTGCTGATAAATACAGGAATGGAATTCTGATCAAGAAGGGGTTAAGATGTAGATAAACATAAATGCAGAGATCTGATCCTGGCAAGAAATACTCCTTCACACAGGAGGAAAACAGAACTCCCAAGTATCATAAGCAGGGATGTGAATAATGTCAAGATGACAAAAAGAAGGGCATTGCAGCATATATGGTGTGTACATGGAAGGTCCATAGTGAAGAGATGCACATTGACCTCAGATGGAGGTGGGGGTGTCTGTAAGACATCCAATGCCCATTTCTTGCCACAAGGATTCATAGACTGACCTTTAGAAGTAGCAACTTCAGTGAGCAGTTTGAAGGCTTCAGCTCGGTCTTTTGGACTGGCCGATTGGATCATTAAAGGTATTTCTTTGAGAGTCATTGTATTCATACACTAAACTCTGTATAGAACATACACAATAAGTTCCTCATGAAACCCACGTCTAGTCAGGTATAGTACTAGTATAAGCAGGGCCGGATTAAGGGGGGGGCAAAGGGGGCAGTTGCCCTGGGCCCCACTCTTCCAGGGGGCCCCCCAAAGGAAATTAAAAACTTTAAGTTAAAAAAAGTATTGTATTTGCATAAAGTAGCTGGGGGGGGGGGCCAAGAATTCATTTGCCCCGGGCCTCGTAACTTCTTAATCCGGCCCTGAGTATAAGTAATCCAAATATGGTTCTAGTTAAACTGCATAAACCCAAGTCACAGAATGGAAAAGCTTGCACCCCCAAAGTTGGCAACTTCCTTATACTAAACATTAAAAGAGAACCTCTTCCAATGCCCACTGGCTGATCCCAGGTAACCATCCCCTGGCTTACATAGATGCGACATACATCCTCTCCCCCTGCCTTTTCATTTGTCCCACCATCACTTCTAGGAACATTCATGGCCCTACCAATAACATGAATATGTACAGTTAACATCTATATTGGGGAAATGTGTAGAGAAGATATCACTGTGTTCTCTAATATGTCCATAAATCATTAAACATGGTCTATAATTTGTTGCAGATAGGGTTGGGATCATTTTGAATTTCACTCAAGTAGAACGTGGTATGAAGCTATGTGGAGCCGTTTATAAAAATCGTACAGGCTAAATTAGATAAGATGAATCTAACTGATGGTCATGGCTGGCCAATCTCATTTCTTGAAGCTTCATAGGAGATATTAGCCTCCTTGAAAATCGTGCACTTCTCCAAATATACATAGATTTATATCAGAAAATGAAAAAGAGAGCAATGATGACATAAATCTAGCTCTAAAGCAAGGCACAGGACTATGATAAAGACCTAGATGAATTCTAGGCATTGGTGGATACAGAAATATATCATAGGGGGGGTGGTTCCCTAGTTCCTACCTATCCCCCCCCCGCCTTCCACCACTCCCTGCCCTATTGCCGTTTTCATTTCTCGAGTGGGGTAAAAACTAGAATATATATTTCACTGGCCCCAATAAAATTAAATGTGGAAGCAATAAAAAAAAAAAAAACATAATGCTTTTACCTAACCTAACCTGCTAAACTGGCCATAGGAGAGGGGGGGGGAGTTGCCCGACCCCTGGATCTGCCACTGGTTCTAGGCCTAGCTAAAGACAAGCTATGAATGAAATGTCCATTCAAGGTTTAGATAGAGACATCAAGAGCCCATAATGAACATCCCATGTTAAGGTTGATTGCTCATGTATCATAAGATAGGCCTACCCCTCTAAATAATAATAGTTTTGCAGGAACAGTCATAGCAGGGATGCCCATTAAATTGTCACTGAACGCATTCCACTAAGTAAATACCCTGCTAATATATAGGTCACTTCACAACCAAAGTCTCATTTGAGGTTTCCACAACTTGAAATGGTTTCCCCACATTCTGCTATCAACAATTTTCAAGTCTATCATACTCCATGTAATAAGTTCCTTTAAGGATCATGAAAGCCTGAATGAGGTCTCCCCTCATTAGACTTCTTTAGAGCGAGAAGAGTCTCGACGTTTCTAAACGCTTCTCCTGAGACCTTCATCCAAGTCGTTAATGTCGACCACAAATGTGAATAACGAACCCTCCTCTCACGTTGGGAGCAAAATTGGTCCAAGCCTAATGTTACTGAATCCACGATAACATCATCCAACTTTACTGACATTTACCCTACTCTGGTCATTAGCCTAATTACTATATTTCGCTATTCGGAGCCGCGTAAATGTCAGTACGCCTCAAGCTAGGCCAATCACATCACGAGCTTCTGCGAAGCGATTGTACAAACGTTAAAATGGATCTGACTCCAGTCTGGAAAAGAATAACTAAATTTTTGTTCGTGAAGTTGATCTCTTGATATGTTCAATTGAAGATTTCGGGGGGAAAATCGAAGGAGGTCAAAGGAATGGAAGAACGAGTGCCAACACGAAAGCACACGTGCTACCACGCCTAACCGGTGCCATACACTTAAGCAGTGATGCACCATTGTCAGTGATATTACAGCGATTTGCAAATCTGTATACTGTAAATGTTTGGTTCGTAATATTTTTAAATGCCACGTAATAATTACTCTAAGATTTACTTCTCTAAACTGAGAAATTTCAAGGTCTTTTTGGTTAAAAGCAACAATGATTTAGCCTCTCTAAGACATACTGCATTCCCACGTGCTGCACTGAAGGGTCAACAGTGCTCTACAGATATTTCCCCTTTGACGTCAAGAAGCATTTTCATTCTTATAATATTCGTAGTATTCATATAATATTCATGGCAGAGCCGGTGTAGTACGCGAATCTGACTCCTGTCAAAACCGACTACTATAGGGTTTTTCGCGTACGCAATTGTGACTACCGTAATCAATATGGCTTAGCTGCCTTTACCAGCATGGTGGTATTTGCGTTCGACCATTCTACTACGGTAGTTACATCGGAGTATGAAAGTGTTTCTACGTCCACGCAAGAAAATGACTCTTCTATGAACAAATCTATTTTCGCATGTTTTATTTCTGTGACATCAACCAGGTCGATGCCGTTTTCCGATCCCATTACTTCAAGTTACTGTCGTGGGCAGTAACTCAGTTACATAGTCATGTTCTCCGTGGACGAAGGGCACTCCCCAAGGCGGAGGTATGTCGAGATGGACTCGTAGTTATAGTCAGCCATCCCTGCTCAGCAGCGACGTAGCGTCGAGGGGGCAAAGGGGGCACATGCCACTTTTCCAGAAAAAATGCCAAGAAACAGAAGGAAAAGACCTAGAAATGAAGCGGATTTTTATGCAAATGGATATTTTTTTGCGGCCACCTAGGAGCATACAACCCTGATAGGATCATGTCTTATTGGTCGAGGAAGCGATTTCTGCCATTTTTAAAACGCATAAAAATGCATATTGATACGTTTTTCTCATATGTGCAAATGTACGCATATTTATGCATATTTTACCCATTTTTAAAATGAAAAAATAAAGGTTTTCCTGGAAAATGTTTCTCTATGAACAACCAATGATAATTTTTCAGCAGTTATGCGCTGTGACGAGTAGCGTAGCGAGGGGGTGGGGGACTGGAGTGGTGAAGCCCCAAGAACTCTGCTCTAAATCCATCCGCTACCTGCATCTCTCTCGAGACATTAAAGGCCCTCGTGCGTTTCCTTTAGCCCTTCATTGGCGCCACTGGCAGTGACAAGAATAGACCAACTATGAGTATACCCAGCAGAGGCATGAAATATACATTCCAAGTTCCTTCTTCCGAAAATTATTACTGCATTTAAAAAAAATACAATCTTTTTTTTTCCCACATTCGTGCATATTTCATGCATATTTTGGCATTTTTAAGTGCATATGTATGGGCACATTTTAGGACTTATTAGCGCACCGGAATCCGCTCCCAAATGGCAACAGTGTCTCTTAGTCCCCGTGCTTTGTCCTGTGACCCTTCCCCCACCCCCCCTCCCACTTTTTCCCTCCAGGCAACGCTTATGCTCCTCAGACAAGTCTTCTTCACACGAGAACCACTGAACTGGTGCAATTGTACTCTTTACACCCGTCCTTTTTCGCTTCAATTCTTGCACCGATAAGTATCTGAGAGATCAGGTGAAGGTTTTACGGAAGTGGTAATCTCCCACCCTGATCCTGGAGGCACAACTGGAAAAGAGAAATTGCCTAGAACCTATGCACTCCGCTAGTCCCGCCCTCAAGATGCACGTGGCTAGCGTTAGGGGGTGAACAAACGACGCGCTCGGCTATCCCGCTCGATGCTCAGCTTTCATTCCGATGCATTCTCTTTCATTTCAATGAAATGAAAATCACCCCACCATTTCACTCGATTCCCTTTGAATTGTGGGAGTTTGAAGATTCACCAAACACGCAATCATTCTCACTATTTTTGTTGCTGAAGGACGTACACATGGGAAGTAGTCCATCAGGGCATTTCCATGCATTCTCTGAAAGGCCCTTACCACATGGACTCGACGAGAGGCGATCTTCCTCGTCACTGCCACCTCTTCAGAAGTGAATTGAGTTTTCCCCCCTGAGGCAAGGAGAAAGATTCCGTGTCATTCCAGTGGGAAGCAAATCGTGAATCGTGGAGCCTTTGTCCGCTAGAATTATGTCCCCTGCAGAGAAGCTGTTCACTACTCCACTCCTTTCCACCACCGCTCGATCGCTGATGCTTCCAGTTTAGCTTCACTAATGAATGTTGTGGTTCCATGAGGGGCGACACCAATCATCACTTAGTAGGTATTGCGTGACTTGTAGTTACTGTAAGTAATTCTTTGTGCTTCCAGGCTGAATCTAGGAACGGCAATTTCGATCTCTGTACGATCGATCGTCATTCGGCAGTTGGAGTATCAAGCGAAGGCATCTGGAAGTCGAGTTCTGTTCTTCAAACGGGACGCAATCCATGATTCTCACAAATGGGATCACGTAGAGAGCATTGAGATATGTCATTAGGACATTCTGCACGACTTCGGCTCACTCCAAATCGGATGGACAGATCCTCATCATGCATTGCCGATCGCAGTTTGGCAATTCGGGGAAGGTGGTACGTAAGTTCGTTTTCTAGTATAACGCAAGGAATTCCAGATAGCAAATAATACGAAATGTGAAGCGGAACGGAGATTTGCAGTAGCGCACGAGCTAAATCATGCGCTCATAAGCAGGTTTGTTTACCCTGTAACAGCGTCCGTCAATCGGATTCCTTGAGGGGCGGAGTCGACTAGCGTAGCGTATAGCCCAGTGGTGCCCAACCCGCAAAAAGTGACCCGCGAGGTGTTTACAAGTTGCCCGTGGGGCCCTAACCCACAATAAATACCCTTATGTTTCCTTAAAATAGTCTCCTACAATACTAGTGACTGGCCCCCGATGGCTGTGGGAGTGAATTATGTGGCCCCCAAGCCGAAGAGGTTGGGCACCACTGGTATAGTCCATTGCAGTCTCAGGTCACAGTCAGTTTCGCGTGACAATGGTGGGTCCTG